CCAAGAACGGCGGCAGCCCTGACAGTGACAACAAGCGCACAAGTCGCAGTCAAAAAGAAACCAAGAAAAAAAAAGAAAGCAACAACAAGAGCAATGTTGACAAAAAAAATTTCCAACAACCATGAGACGGCAGTTGTTGGCGTTAGTGGCAGATCAAAGCCAGCGTTAGCTAGTCTATGTGCGAGCCGAGTGTAGTCGGCGTCGCCACAGTGTCGTCATCATTGTCATTAACAGCAACAGCAACAATAATGAAGACCATGAAGCCCATGAATGTTCTTCGCACACATGCTCAACAGTAAAGTTCTCTGTGTTGCTCATCATCCACATCATCATCAACCATACCGCAGTACCGTGTGCGCCGCCATACGTCTTAAGTGCTGTTGCCACTCCCTTTTTTGTCGGCGTAGTGTTCGCGTGTTCGTTGTGCGGCGGAAATGCTTTCGTGTATAAATATAAATTTGCATAAATACATTTGTATGTTTGTGTGGAAGCTTTAAAGGCTTCGTCTAGGTGCACGAGATTCGCCTTGACTTCTGGCGCACGTTTGCGAGCGCTGGCGGTCTCTTACATATGCATTAGCACCGTGAACTTTTATGAGCATTTGTAATTTTCACAATTTCGCAAATGCAAGCAAATTGTGTAATTAGTTTGATTAAGAAAAAATAATTGCCAAAAGCACATCATTTATTTTAAATTGATTGGAGAGTGGAGAAAGTTGCTTTTTGATGCCGTCAAGAACGTAGAGAGCTTTATAAGTTGGAAAAAAGCTTAATGGGTGGAAAAAAAGTTAACGGGAGTTTCATTTTTTGAGTTTCCTTATATATTTACCTAGCTCAGTGTTCTATTTGTGATCATTTTGTGTTCCTGTTATGTAAATAAACATTACTGAAAGTATGTAAAGCTTGCAAAATTTGAAAAAAGCTTTGAGGTCGAGCAAATCTTTAATGGAGGGTTTGTTATTTTAGAATTTTTCTACTAGTTTGGTTCTGCCTGCCAACGTTTTTTCGTATACATAAGTTTTCTTTACCTAATATAGGTCCTGAAAGCTTTCAGTCACTTGAACGTAGCTAAGGAAGTTTATGAAAAGATTTACTGAGCAAAAAAAAAAAAACAACAAAATACGCGTGGTGCGTAACGGCGTAACAGAGCAGAAGTTCATATGTGATCATATCAAAAGTTTTGAAAGCTTTCACAAAAAAGTTGCCATTAGTGAGTAAGTCATTAATAGGATATTCGTTTTTGATTTGTTTTTTGCTTTTTACCCAACTTTGCGTTGGATAAGTTAATCGATCAGAACGGTTCAGGCTTTGGGTTTTTAAGCAGACATGCTCCACGCAATAAACAAGTTATCTTTGGGCCATATTTTCGAAGTTGGCAGTGCGATTCAATGCGAGATCGTTCGATAATAGTTTTATAGTGTGGAAGAGCCACTCGTGTATTTCAACGAGCACAAAAATATAAACGGTCTCAACTCTCTAAAGATCTTGTAGTTTTCGAAGATATATCGGAATATAAGTAAGGACTCCAGAAGAAAGGGACCGAATAAAGTTGGTTGAATAGGAATTCCTCAACCTTTTTGAGATGTAATTGCGTTATTTACTAAGAAAAGAACTTATGCTCAAAGACTTTAAAACTTGAGCAGGGTATTTCAAAGTCTTTTGAAAGAAATTCCTAGCAGATAAATATCTCAGAATTCGGAAAAAAGCATACAAGTACTTTTTTGAAGTACTGTAGCCAATGTTATACCCAACTACATGTTGTTTTGACTTTATTTCTTTTAAAGCAAATATATCTTCTGTTAGTCATGTAAGTCATGTGTATCTTCTCAACAGATCGTTTATTCACTCGCCCGCGCATGTCTGCATCCATCCAGCTGCGTCTTCATTTCCATTCCTTTGCTACATTTACAACTCGTTGTTTGCTGAAAGTGCTATTTATAACTTTTACTTCAATTTAACTGCGAAATTTTATGGAAACATACATAATTCTCTTTTTTTGTTGCTTAGCATGAAGCGACGCCATAAACGCGACGACGCTCAAGCTATTTTTGGTAATGTCTAGCATTAGTACTGAGGGAACTAAACGTTTTGACAGGTCTTATTGAAAGAAGAGTAGCAGTTGGTGGAGGAGGGAAGAGGGAGATTCGGTGTTATAAACTAAATAAATTCTACTATTGGAGGATGATAAATTTTATATACAAAAAATTAAGTGTTTTCACAAAAAAAAAAAATATATATATATATATATATGTACTATATGTACTTAAGTATCTAAAATGAGACTATGAAACTCTGTGCTCTCTGCATTATACGCTCTTAACAATTAATTATTTGTATTTTTTGATAATAGTAATCATTATAAAATGTAATGACTACTGAATTACGTCATTATCTAAAAAATAATGATTATTCATTGTAGTGGTTATTGCTAGTAATCATTACTAATTGTATTATTTATTGATAGTAATCATTTGAGTAATGATTACCGAGAAAAATAAGTTTCTTAAATGATTTTTACAAATTGCAAAAAATTTGATTCATAATTGTGCTAAGTTGTAAAATTTTTATTATGATATAATTGAGTTTTTTAAATAATGAGTATTAATAGTAATCTATGTGAATTGGGGTGGCCGTTGATTACTATACAAACTCAATTATACATTTGAATGATTATTAACATTAATATTGTTATTAAACGTAATGATTATTAATGGAAATCACTATGAATTGTAATGATTATTGATGGTAATAATTATGAGTTGTAATGATTATTGATGGTAATCAGTATTCACTGATAAGATTATTCACTTATTCATTGATATTATTACTAATTGTAATTAATATTCCTTTACTCATTGAAAGATTACTGATTGCAAACGTTATTATATGTAATGGTTTATAACAGTAGTCTTAATTAACTGTAAATGATTACAATAACGATTATTAATTGTAATGATTACCGATTGAATTTTTTTTCAGAAAAGAGAAATAATTAAGATTTATTATTAATAATATTAATTACTAATATTCATTAATGGTAATGATTATTAGTTGTAATGATTACCGATATAATTTTTCTTCGAATAACACACATTTAAGCTCAGCGGTTCTAGTGTTTATTTATAGTTACATTTTATAAATTTAATCACCATAACAGTTTAGAAACCAAGCACCCTGTATAAAAATGCCGTTTCTCTGTTCATTAAAAGCGCAGGCATCATTTAAATATTTCATAATTTCATACACACTGACAATATTGTCCTATTCGACTACTTTTTCTGCAAATCATTTAATCTCATCGTCCTATCGCGCCACGATATGCACGATATGGCATTATGACTATCCATATAAAATGCTGACAAATTTTATTATGCTGTATTTTCATATAAACGACACTTTTTCTGACATTTACTAAATATTATGTATGCACACAATGACAAAGATTATTAGAAACGCAGTGAGCGTAAACGGGGTACAACAATAAAAACAACGACTTTGTTTACCAAGCCAAGGAAATTCTCAGCATAATATCGCTTGGTTATGCTTCTTTGATTTTTTGTTGTTGTGATTTTGTGTTTTTGGCACTACGGTCGCAGCTCCTTATTGTTAGCTGCTTTGCCGCTGGTCATAATGTTAACTTAGTTACCTCACCGCTAAAAGTTTGCTTTCAAACGCCTCGTTCTCGGCTGCTACACACCCTGTGTGGGTATTTTCCTCCTTGGTTGTCATGCTTTCAGTTATTTGCTTAGTTGATGAGTGAACGTTTGTACTAAGTGGGCAAAAAGCGGCGACACGGTACTAAATTTGCTGCTTTTTGTTAACCTTAAATAATGGTGGTTATTGTATACATATGTTGTAATTTTTGTATATGTTGTTCATTTTGATTGCAAGTCGTCACATTCTTTTCACTATAAACTCAAAAACAAATTTATTATTTATATATTCATTATTATTACTATTATTTTTAAATTTTCCAATAGAGATTAAGAGACTGTACTATGAAAGTCTTTAAAAAATTATTTAAAATTATAAAATAAAGCGTGCGTCAAAAGCAGGAAAAAACATAGTACGCAAAAAATGTTTAAAAAAATATAATATACAGGGTGTCCAACAAGTTATTGTTTTTTTTTAATTTTCAAATGGAGCTTAAGAGACTGATTTGTTAAAGCTTCTGAAAAAATTATTTAAAATTATAAAATATAGGGTGTGCCGAAAAAAGTTTTTTTAAAAGAAAAGTTTAAATGCACAAAAAATATAAATACATATATACATGGTGTTCAATAAATTATATTTTTTATTTTTATTTTTAAATTGAGTTTAAGAGACTGAATTCGGAAATAGGAAAATTATTTTAAATTGTTAAATACAGGGTGCGCAAAAATGTTTTTACACTTCCAAATGTTCATAAAAATATTAAAACCTAATATACATATAATAACATATGTATACGGAATTCAATGCTTTTTGGATGTATAAGAAAATAGAATTGCTACACCCTGTATTCCACTAAATATTTATTTATGCAGGAACCAGATATTTTTGGTTTATTCTAAGTATTTTTTATAATTTAAATACTTTATTAATATAATTATTTTATTTTTTTCAGATTTTACGACTCTTGGTGAACTTAAGAAGCCAACCGCTGGTTAAAACAACAACAAAAAAACACAAAAGTGCAGAAAAATACAAAAAATATTTATGCATAAAATTAAAAATCTATCAGTCAAACTGCACGTAAATAATATTTAAAACAAAAGAAATAAATATACAGTTATTACTGAAAATACATGAAATAAAAAAAAATCATTGAAGTATTTACAAGTCCGCTTCAAAGCAATGCAAAACTATAAAAAATAAATATTGAATTAATGAAAATTATAAATATCATACAGAGCCAACTACATACGAAAAAAAATTTAAAAAATTATTGCAAAAAAATAAATTGAAAATTTCTTATTACAAAAAGTAAAGTTTTAAAGCTTGTGAAACACCCTGTATGACAGTCTAAATAACTATTAGTTACAAAACCAACTAAACAATAAATTAATTTACTTGTAACCGTTGCGTTTGCAACAGTGTGCAACGGAAACCAAACAACAACAAAAAACTTCACTTTCAAAAACTCTTCAATTTATTAAAAAAAAAACCAACACAGACTAACACACAAGCAACAGAAGTGCTAAATAGAATTTGCAACTCACGCGCTTTTCCAATTTCCTTTTGTAAACGTTAAGCAGCGAGAGCACATACATAAAAACAACAACAACAAACAGCGCGAGCAACAACTGCATAGACAAAGTGGAGTCGCGCGTCACAATTTGCAGTCAACAACAAAAAACTGTAAATACAAATACAACAACTAAATTTAGTGCAGAAAATTTTGCGCTCTGCTAGAATTTCGAGACGAAGCGTTGCAGTCGTGCAAGAACGTCAGTCAGTCAACGACGGCGCTTGCCACAAGTGACTCGCAGCAGAAACCGCTAGGTCGCAAGAAGCGCGAAGAAGAAGAAAATCAGTGAAGAAGCGAGAAGTAAATAATTGGAGAAGTATTTGAAAACTGTTTACGAATGGATTTTTTATAAAATTTTTAAGCATTTCTGCGAATGTGATTTAGTGCGTACTTGAACCCGCAAACTAGCCAAGACACATACCAGTTAAAGTAAAACGCCCCCTATACAACCAAAAGCTAAGAAAGAAAAGACTGATTTTGAATTGAAACTTCCAAGAAGTACTCAAATCAAAGAAAACGTGTGCGTGTAAGTTGAGTGTTGAGCACAGCGCCGAGCTGAAGCTTTTAAATCGACGAATTGTGTGGTTTTCAAAACAACAACAATTCACACTGTGTATATATCGAGCTGGTTCCTGTTTAACAGTAGCATTAAAAAGTGACGAACTTGAAAGGAAATAAAAAAACTAAAAGCTGAATTCTTAAAATCTAAAACTGACTAAAGCGAAAACTACAGGGATATAAACCAAACCGGTAAAACTAAAATATTGAAATTGAACCTACTGACTTGCAAACACATTTGAAATTACCGCTGCGCTCCTGCTGTAGCGCCACAATTGTAAACGCGTAGCGCCAACGAGTACCAAAAACAAAAAATCCAAATAAATCCCGAGAGCCGACTTTAGCGCGCCACTCACGAGACGCCACAAACCATGGCCAACGGCAACGGCAACAATGCCAGCGTCGCCGCTACTAATGGCGAAGGCAACGGCTTGGCAACCAATGGCGGCACAACCACAACTACGACCAATGGCACTGGCACAACAGTGGCCGAGCACTTGAATGGCGGTGGCGCTGCGAGCGTCGTAAATACCAATACCGCCGGAGTAGCGGATGCTTTGGCAGCCGTTGACGCAGCAGCTGGTACAGGCGATGCAACAGATGATGGTGTGGCTGGTGATGGTGGCGGTGTTGGTGGTGGCGTTGTTGGTTTGGGCGGTGCCGCTTCCACCTCATCTATGGGTGGCGATGATGCTGGCACCGATGCGGGCGCCAGCTCATTGCCCCCGTCCGAAGAGGCGGGCGGTCGTCCACCACTCGATACAGCTTGCTCTGATGGCGGCGGCGGTCCATCGAGTTTGGGCGGCGGCATGGTTGGGCCACCAAGTCCACTAACCGGTTGTTATTTGCTGATCGTGCTGGGTGAGCCACATTCGGAGGAGCATAAGGATAATATATTGCAGCATTTGTTGAAGGGTGAGTACATTGATTAATCGAATCGATTTTTATATTTGATATGTTTCAAACTATCAAGTCCTCGATGAAAGTGTTGAGCATTTAGATGCTTTGGAGCGTCTTAGGTAATACACAGTTTTTACTAAAAATTTCCGATCAATGTAGTATACCCTACTTCAAGAGACGGACAAAATCCGTCGTTTAGAGCCTTCTTACGGTTGACAAACCGTTTTGACTCGACTGTGTACTTGGTTATAAAGTAATCAGTCATACTGCTGAAAGCAACCATATTGTGAGCTCTTAAAGAAAGCTTCAAAGCTACTTGTTTTTTAAGCTCTACTCTCATCGAGACTCTAATAAAATAACGTTCTAAGGTGGTTTGTTCTACGAGATTTTTAGGAGTTCTCCATAGTGAGACTTTGCATAATTTTGAGCTTAACTGTGGCTTTGAAATTAGCTGGAAGACCACTATAGAAAAAAACTAAACGAGAAGTAAGGCAACTCGAAAAGAAAATTTACGATCCCGGCTTTGCGGCCTGTAGTAGTCTCCATACAAAATTTTACATGTAAGAATTCCTAAAAAATACAGCTTTAATTATTCTATCTCATTTCTACAAAAATTCTACAAAATCACATTTCCACACCACAAATCAATAAACTCGTAGCAATGCTTCATCGCATTTCTATTACATAGTAAGCTTTTTTTTATATAAGTGCAAGAAATCTGCAACGTATGAAAGCATGTCAATTCTTTATGACTAATGCAACATAATGGAAACACGCGCAGAATTTTCTTTTCGCTATTTTCTCATTGCATTTTTATTGTTATTGCTCTTATTTTTACTTTTTCTACAATTTAATGTATGCATTAAAAGGAAATGAAACGAGTAAGATTAGAGATACCAAATTGGAGCAATGGTACGAGTTCTTTTGTATAATTTCTTTCTGAAGTGCGTGGTTTTTAAATTATATAAGCGCACGCAAATGTTGAAAAAATTAATTCAGCTGGAGAAAATGAAGCAATTTTCTGCAAATAGGCATAAAATAAAGAAATTTGAGTTGCTAAATACCTTGCTGAATAGCTGAATACCTCGCTGAATAGCTGAATATATACACAAATGTTAGAATTTAGTACTTTACCACAAGATATTTTAAAAACTTGTTTTAAACAATGTGCTGAATGTTGAGATTATTAGCTGAATACGAAAAGACATTTTATTTGAGAATTTGACTGCAAATATTGAAAGAAAATCTACTTATTTCCTGAAATAGTATGTTAAATTCATGAAAATTTTAAGAGTAGAGTAGCTGTATACGTCGCTGAATTGCTGTTTGTAATTATTTTAGTTAATTTTTTCAATAGGCTTAAATTAGTGCTTACACGAACTGAGTCAATACTTAGAACTTTGCTTAATTGCTGATTTGATATTTATAGAAATAAGTTGCTGAATACTGTTTTTATTAGCTGAATGTATGTTATAAGTGAATCACAAATATTTTCTTTCTAACTTTTCTGAAAGTAATGAATGTTTGACTATGGTATTTGTATGAGCTCGTTTCCTATGTGTGCAAATATACAAGCTTACTTAGAATGCATATAAATGCTGAAATTGGTAGCTGAATATGTTCGGTTTGTTAGCTGAATAGCGGATGCATAACAGATAAAGCTAGAATTTGAATTAGAACGTGTTAAACTGTTCAAAATTTGGATATTAAACTTCATTTGCTGAATGGCTGACTCTAAACAACATATTATAAAATTTTAATTTAGATTTCTTAAATAAGCGTTTTACTATCATAAGTTTAGAAGAATATTCAGCTAGGCACAAAAGCAATTATATTTCAGCTGAATAAATGTTGTACCTTTTTTATATATTTTTTTACTCATATAAAGAATTGAGCACCTAGCTGGACGAGCTAATTATGTGCGCCGAACACAGTACATAATTATAATTGTGGTTAGCTACTTAAGAAGTATATACCATTTTTTGCTGAATAGCTGAATAACTACAAGCAAAGATTTTCAATGCTTTTTTATGGTACATACAGTAGCACTGCTGACTCACTGACTTATCAACTTAAAACCGGTAGCTTCTACATGCATCTTTCTTATTATTATTAGTCTGATTAGCCGTAAACTGTTTGCACAACGCTTTATCTTGGCGATACTTATGTCAGTGCCACTAACACCTCTAGTTGTAGCTTCACTAGTCCGATTCTGCAGCGGTAATCTAGCTGTCCATACAATAACAGACTCTTTATCAATTCTTACGACCTACACAAACACACACGAGCGCATTCAGCATAGCGTAGCTCAACTTCTCTTGTGTGCTGCTCTTCTTCTTCGCGTTGTGCGCACGCGATGCCAATTATTCAAGCGTTAAAAGTTTCTATCAAAGCCGCTGCATTGCTGTCAGCTAGTTGGTCAGTGTGGCCGTTAGCCAATTAGCCACTTCAGTTAGTCAGCCAGCTGTTCAGCGCGCTTACAGCACGATGTACATACATACAACTGTGTTGTGGATGCTTTTGATTGCTTTTTATATAATTTTATGATTTCATTTTATTTTTATTTTTCTTCTTATTTACTTATTTACTTAGTTTCTGTTCTTCTTCTTAGTACTTACTTAGACTCATGTCTGACTTACAATTGGTTTAACAATTTCTAATGGATTCTTTTGTTGGTTAATTGTGCGGCTGCCGCCGTCTTAATAACATTTTTTGTTTATTTTTTTTTTGCTTATTTGTTTTGGCAAACTTGTTTGTGTTTGTTTGTAATTTGTCGGAAAATTGAGGTTGTAAATTTTTGGCGTGAAACCATGAAGCATAAAATGTGTGGTTTCTAGTCTTAATTGTGAAATGAGACGTTGTGAAAGGAGTTCGAACAATATTGTTCTTGACCAGTGGTAAATTAAATAAAAGTGGATTTTGAAAAGTTAGAGATGCAAAACACATTTAGCTTTACACTGCTCAACAAAAATAGGTGTATATATATACTCTTATATCTCTTTACGTGTATCTAAAGGGTGATCAATTTCGAGGTTGCTGACTTTTTTCAAGAAAATAAACACAGAAACTTCAAATTTAATCGGGCATGCTTATTAACATTCGAAAGACCGTTCTTTGGCATTTATATTTGAAGATTATCTCTTCCAAATATTGGCCACGGCTACATCTCGGATGATGATCCGTTGAGTTGAACGAGTTTTTATTATATCCAATAGAGCTAATTATATGCCTTTCGTAAAATTTCGGGATCCTGAAACTAGTGTCAATTGACAAAAATGTCAAAGTGTTTTATTAAAAATATGAATTTTGTTATTTATTACAATATACATATTTGAAAATTATTATTATTTCTAAACTAAAGTACGTTGCTAGAAATCAGT